GTGGATTTTTCACATCCCAGGGCCGACATAGCCATATGGAACTAACTTTTAAGTGTAGATCAGGCCAAAATGATGAAGTGCAGGGGCACAACCTTCCCATAGTTTTGGGTTCAACTGCAATTTCACACAAAAATTTAGTTCTGTCTTTACCTTATCTGAACCTGTTCACCCAGTCCTAGTTTCAGCCTCCAGGGACAAGATGTATTAAATGAATCTGTGGCTTTATACACAGTAAAAAATTAGGGTCCACTCTCTTAACTGGTCTTATCCATTATGGCCCTGCCTACATCCACTCGTTGTACAGGGCTGGGAGGCACAGCAGCCCCACATGGCCGTTTGCTCTAGGAGATATGGATCTCAGCAGCTCTAGAGGATGTAGGGGACACAGCAGCTTGGCAGGGCCCTTGTCCCCAAGATTAGTGGATATACTTTTGTATGTGAGGTGTTAGATGTACTCAATTTAGCCCTCCTGGAATCAGGAGCAAAACCCACTGAACTCAATGGGAGTTATGTCCACTTTATTATGTATTAGTGTTAACTAGAGGTGCCAAGCTTACAATACAGCAGATGGCTATACCACACAGATAGGGGAACACAAGGAAACATGTGATTCTGGGACACTGCAAAACCCACAGAGGAGGCTTCTCATCACAGAAGAGTTTTAAAACTCCCTTCCAGTGTCTCACTGAGTTTCCCACTGTCTTCACTGCGGTCGGGATGTCACCCTGGGTCTCCTCACTACCATTAACCTGATGTCCTTTAGTGTTTCTGCAACATTCCCCAGTCGCCTGTTAGTAGGGTGACCATATTTTCCAAAGAGAAAACAGGACACTACCAGCCGCTCACCCGAGATGTACTCCCCACCCCCATGAGGCTGTTGCCCATGTCTGGAACCCTGCCAGGGGCCCCTCAGGAGGCTGTTGGCAGGTTGCTGAAACCCTGCCGACCCCCATGCTGAAACGCTGCCAGTGCCTCCCCTCCCCAGCTCTGTCTCTCCTGTTGCAGGGGGCTGGCATCTCTGCTTGCCTCCCCCCATGTTCCTCCACACCACACCCCACTTTTTTGACAAAAGTGGGCATTTGTCCCGTTTGCTCTTGCCAACTGATCAAGCTGCCCAGAGCAAATGGGAAAAATGCCACCTTTTGGAAAAAAAAAATGTCGGGATGGCAGGGACAGGGCTTAAAAAAGGGACTTTCCCAGCCAAAATGGGACATATGGTCACCCTACCGTTTAGGCCTGAAGTTTCTTACCCAAAACCTTTTCCTGCTCTGAGGAAGAAGAAGTCTCTCTCCAACTCCTCCCAGCAAATTAGGCAGGCTCAGTGGAAACAGCGTAATAACACTTTCTAGCCATAGTAGATTACCCAGCAAGACTGGCAGCTGACTTCATTCTGGAGATGTTGCTGGGGGTGACAACAGCCATGGTGTCTGTCAGGGGAACAGAGTGGAAAAATTCGCTCCCATTCACTCAGCAATGGGCCTTTCCCCTGCTGAAACTTGCTAAAAAGAGATGAGCACAAATACCCAGAGCCCTGGGTCTCTTATGGATTTCTTCTGCTTCCTCCAAAATCTTTCATTTGACTCTTCCCCAGCGGACCAGCTTCCCCAGTAGCCCCCCTGCTACTGCTATGGGTACCTGGCCTTGCCCAAAATGGTCACCACCAGGGGCAGACCTCAATTAGGGGTACTATGTCCTCTCAGTATTGTCACTGCTGTGTATTGTGGCTTTGTACCATGGGATGCAATACCACCTGTTGCTCATTGTTTTAAAAAAAGGTATAAAGGGGCAGGGCATGGGTCCTCTGAGACTGATGGTAGTGGGTGTTAGGTAGGGAGAGGAAGAATTCTGAGCCTGGAGGGATTCTCAAGTAGCTGGGTATTGGGTTGTGGGAGCTGAGGGGCCTGGGGATTTTCTGAGTTTGGAGGACTATTTGGACAAGGTTTAGTGCAGGAGGGAATGGAGTCAATTGGCAAGTGAGGCCGTATGCGCCCTTAAACTACATCTGAAAGAGGTTGGTCCAGTGAGTTTGGTTGTGTATCATTGAACTGTGCTGCTTTTCTTTGAGGTGCAAGGAGGAGCTGGTAAACAGGCTTTTAGTTAGCTTTCCTGTGCAATGAAATTACACACTAGCATTCCAGCCTGCAGTTTAATGCTTGGCAGCTGGGCTTTTAAAAGTTTTCAGAGCTGTTAGAATAGAGAATCAAGACTTATTTGCAATGTACATTGGAGATTTGTAAGGTACTGCTTTAAATTATAAGCGTAGGGCTAACTTTTGAGGCCTCACTTGGCCTCTTTCCTTTGAGTCTGGATCTGTGAGTTGTTGTTCTAAGATCCTGTAATTAATAGCAAATGTTTGCAAGGTGCTAAATGTTTTGCTAAGGTGCTCCTTCAGGCTGAGCTGTGTGGGGAATGGCAGGAAGCTAATTTAGACCCATTTTTAAAATGTTTTCCTAAGCTACAAATATGGGTTGTTTGTATCCAATGCAGTACACTCTGACTTTTTGAATTGACAGGAGGGATAAATACATTCCATACGTATGACTCAACGTGAGCAGGAGCTATGCTCCGACCCTTTGAAAGTGTTTTTCAGTCAATAAACCAAAAGATAGGAGACAGGATTCCGCATTAGCACTTTCAATGGCATGTTAAGTGACTTACCCAAGTCACACAGCCTCAGGTGCCTTAGTTTACTTCCCATTAAAACAGGAATAGCAGCTATATATGTATTTCTGTTTACATAAATATCAAAAGGTTCCTGATTTGACAGGTAACTAGTGACTAAGGATCACTACAGTACAAAGCAAATGCATGTGGCATTATATACATGGGTGGTTTCATAAGACTTACGAAGCTATAACAAAGAGATGATCAGATACTTCCGAAACTATACAATCATGGAGTTCCCCCAAAAAACTGAAATAAAATTAAAGGCTGAGAAAAAACTATTCATTTCTGAGCCAATGAGGAAGCAGGGATTTGCATATAGTAGCTGATTGGCCCAAAGGTGAGAGGCACCACCGAACTCAGCTGCAGAGAATCATAATGTAGTTATTTGCATACATGATTTGATTGGGCAACATTGCTTCTTATCCCACTGTTTACATCTGTGAAGGTAAACAATAGAAATGCCATGTTTTGTCACATGACTATTTTTAGCCAATGATGAGGCAGAATTTTCTGGTCTATTACAAAGTGTAATTATCTTGTAGGCGTAGAGGGTCAGATTTTGAAATAGTCCGGTAACAGGTGCTTGAATGGTGTTAAAGTATCCCTGGAATGAGAATGGTGTAAAATGCACACAATGTTATCTTACATGAGTTCTGGGGGTGAAGAATAAGACTAACGGAATAATTTGTTCACCTGTAGACCATCCCGCCAATGATGAAAACAAACACGATATCACCCGCTGGCAGGTAATCAGAGCTGCTGCTGCTTCAGTGAAGCTGGGAAGAGGTTGTTATTGGAGGAAGTACTGAGTTATGGTTGGGACACTGGAATGGGACTCAGGAGACATGCATTCATTTTCCAGCTCTCCCACAGATATCCGAGATCATGCTGGGAAAGTCACTTTACCTCTGTGTTCCTCATTTGCCAGTTTTCTGCTTGAAAGTTCTGTCCTTTTCTCCATCTCTCTCTGTCTGGTCTAATTCTAATGTAAGATTTTCAGGGCAGGGAGTGTCTCTCACTAGGTATTTGTGGAACACCTAGCACAATGGGGCCATGCTATTGGTTGGGGGCTGCTGGGGTACAAAGGATGATGTAGTGCATAGGGCACTACACTGGGACTCAAGAGACCCTGGCTTAATTTCAAGCTCAGTTACCAACTTTCTGTGAGACTTTGGGCAGATCATTTAAGCTACCTTGTGCCTCAGTTTCCCATCTGTAAAATGGGGGTAATATTTCCCTATCTCATAGGGGTATTGTGAAGTTAAAATCCATGAAAAATTGTGAGGTGATCAGCATATCTGCATATCTAGATACATAGGGGCTACTGCAATACAAATAATCATAACAGGAGAACAAAATTTGAAAAGTGAGAGGAGTATTTTAACTTCTTCAAATAGTTTTGCATCCCACATGGACTGATTATTTAATTAATCTAGCTGAGTTAGAAGACTAGAGACCAACACAAGAGGCTGGCATTCTGTATCCAGTGTGAATCCCTAGCTGCCAATCACCTGGCTGTGGCATGAACAGTAGTATCGACTGGCTTCAAGTTGAAAAATTGCTTTGCATGATGATTGTTCACTTAATTAGAAGTTAGTTAGCTGAATGGTCCTTGGCTAGTGGGGGTCATAATTTTTCATCCACTTAGGCCTTGGACGATGTGCACCAGGACATGCAAGGCTGCTGTGCTCTGTCTTGAATAGGAGCAGAGAGTACAGGAGGGTGTAAGTCTTAGACTCTGTGTGCATCTGCTACCTTCCTCTTGATTCTAGGGAGAAAAAAGGATGAGAAATAGTTCTGTGAGAGAAGAAACAGGCTTAAGAGAGACTCCCAGCATGCAAATGAAACATTATATACTCCCCTCTTTGAGTTACTCCTACTTAGGAAGAGGAGAAAGTCAGTGGCTATGCAGCAGTGCTTTCATTAAGGCAGGATAAGATTCCCTTGCATTCCCTGTCCTTATCATCTTTTAGCTTGTGCTCACATGCACAGCATTCCCCCACATGCACTGGTGAGGATCAAGCACGTAATAGGTTTTTCACATTCCCTCAGAGCAACTTACACATAGAAAGAGAGTTTTACTATGTATGTGTATGACAGACAGACAGACAGAGAGAGAGAACACGGGGCATTGACTTTAATGGAGTTAGTCCAGATTGTCAGGGTTGAAATTGAGATCAGGATTTGGCCCCATATGTAGTTTAGGCTTTGATCAGTCTGTGAGATTCTCCATCCTTGTGTGTTATCTGAGGTTTCCATTAAATTTAACTTAACACTGTTAACTTAACACTGTTACGTCTCTCTGTTGGCTTTCAGTTATAACTGACTGCACCATGTCCTCTAAGATGACCAAACTAGATATTGCTTCCTCAGAGAACTGGGAACAGAAGAAGCAGGTGGGTACATGCTGTAGGAATATGGGGTTCAGCAGGCAGGATACTGGTTTGCACTATTAAGTACCAGCCAACAGGTAATTCAGGCCTACACAAAAGTGTCAAGAAATGTGCCTAGTGACTGTTGAAATGAGTCCAGAACTGAATGAATGTGAATACTAAATTCTCCATTCTGTGCCAAGAAAGATAGTGGACCAGGTCCTAAGCTAGTGTAAATTGGCTTGTCTATCTTTGGAGGTGTGCTGATTTATACCAGCTGAGGGTATCACATTAGGTTTATAAGTAGTATCAGGACTTGTTTTTTCCAGCCCTTCTCATCCACACTGGTGTCATATGCCAAGGCCAACACTGACACAGCAAAATTTGTATCCGTCAATAGTTCAGCAAATTCAAAGGTGGTTTCTGGAAGTCTATTCTAAATAGCCATTCCACTGTTCAGTGATTTCTTCTGTTATGTTTTTCCATGCACAATGACCAAAACAATGTTTGTTTTTAGTCTAGCTGACTTTGATTTTTGATTAAGGAAAACAACAAAGAACATGTATAAAGGGCCTGTACACCAGTTTTATGTTACTGATGTGATGTAATATTGGCATAAAACTGCATCTGAACTGAAAAACAAAATAGCAGCTATCTCACAAGAGCCCCCAAAGTGAGCAAGAAGGGGTGGATTTTGAAGGTGCAGTACATAGCAAACAAAATGACATCTCCTTTTAGTTACTAAATTAGTCACACTAGATTAGATGAGAAACAGTCTAGACTAAGACTAGAAACAGTCATAATGAAGTATTCCACCCCCTCCTTAAAGGGCAAGGGGTAAAAGAATCTTTTGATTTTGTTTCATCCTAATTTTCTGTTTAAAAAGTTCAAAGACAGAACTAGTAGAAGTTGTACCTGGACTCAAATTGCTGTAAACTCTCCTCCTCTACCGCCAAAGCCCAATGTCTTCTCAATGTATGGACCTCCAGTACTTATTGCTCAGAAATGTGAAGTAGGAATAGATGTTTGATTTTATTAGACTTTTCAACTTACCTAGTTTAAATAGATGTATTAACGCAGACCATGGACTCTGATTTTCTTTGAGCAAACAGTAGGATTTCATTTCCTCTACAACTCCAGATCTACAACCACTGTACCTGGTGTAGCTCCATTGACTTCAATGAAGTGCTTCCATTTAAACTAGCTCTGCACTGGTCCTAATCCTTTGGAAAGCCAGATAGATCAATGGGAGTTTTGCGTTTGCTTCTCACCCTACCAGTGAATCTTTGCTGATGTGACTTTTTCTGTTTTGCCTCAGTGTAATGTCTTGAAGAAACCTAGTGGCCTACCCTTTGTAAGCAATGTCTGTCACTTGGTTTCCACTAAATATACTTCCATCAAAAAGAGACACCCGTACATCAAATTTATATGTACTGGGACAGAGAAAGGAGTGAAGACCATTAATGAAGTTGTGGTCAGCAGTGCACAGCCAGTTCTGAATACCCTGGAACCTCAATGTGAGTAAACTGAGACAGAGAAGCTTTTCTCAATGGGAAGGGAAAGTGTAACTCAAAATAAAAATTTAGTGGGAAATTCCTCATTCAGTCCTGACTGTCATACGTAGGTGGTGTGCAATTTCTCAGCAACTTCTGTGCCTAAAACCATCTGGAAAATTGGCCTCTGTCTCCACTTGTGATGTGGCTGATCTGAGAACTATGATATATAAACATAAGCCAGTCTGTTCCTGCTCACACTGAAAGAGAGTCAAGAAACTAATTCAATTTACCTCTCTATAGCTGCAACAGTAAACTGCAAGGGTCTAGAGTCAGTGGAGGAGAAGCTGCCGATACTTTGTCAAAACGCTGATCAGGTAATTATCTTTTATTCAACTAGAGACTCTTTAAAGGGGAAGGCTCTGATCCGATCTATTAGCAAGAGTGACTAGAGCAGTGGTGGCAGCTGAATGCCTTGCTGGAGAGGTGTGGATAGTTGTAGCCTATTTTGCAAGAATGTATTTGATCAAAAAATGGGTTATTGTGGATTTCACTAGACTATAACAGGCAGTCCATGCAGTTTCAATTCAAACACTGGAGGAAATATTGGGGCAGTGGACAAACACACATTTTCTGATGACCGCAAACTAGGAAAGGGCAGATAAAATTGGATGACACAAGCCCCATTTCATAGATGTTCCAGGACAACATTATGCTGAAGTGTCTACTGTATGGAAGATTAAAGCTCACAACAAGCAGAAGGTGATGTCCCTTCATCAATTGATATCTACCTTATTTTGAAATGAGATCTTAGGTCAAAGCATTAAAAAATGGACCTGCAGTTGTTCAGAAGTTTTGAAAATTTACCCCCACCTTATTATATATCTCATTATGAATTTAGCAGCCTAGCTTTGGGCACCCGACTCTGAAAACTTTGCCCAAGAGCTTTTTTTTTTTTTTTTTTAAGTATAAATCCAACTTTCCTCTATTTTATTTTCAGGTTGTTTCAGATGCAAAGGACTTCATGAGGTTTTCCAAAGTGATGGGTGAAAATGATGCAGTGACCAAGACAATAATAGGAGTGGTCGGCCTGACCAAAGAGGCCATCCTGACCAATATGGAGACCCCCAAATCAGCAGTGATTAATGGTATGGGTACAGTCATGGGATGAAAAGTATGTAGGACTGGCTGAAAAACAAGAATTCTGATTTACATCAAAATTGGAGGATTTGAAATGCGTTTTTGTTCCACAATGGAATGAAAATGAGACCTTTCAAACATTTTCATTAAAAAAACACAAGTGACTCCCACCCCAAAATAGCCTGGTAATTACGGCACTAGTCTGGCATGTGGGAGACCCAGACTAGTGCCGTAGTCCCTGCTCTGATTTGGAGCAGGGAGCTGAACCTGGGGCCCCCACATCCCAATTAGTGCCCTAGCTACCAGGCTATTGGCTGTTTTGGGATGGGGTTCTGTCAATTCCATCCTGAGGCTGAGAAGCCTTCATGATGAAAGTTGCATCCAAATCACTACACTTCTGTGAATAGTTTTGGTTTTGATGAATCTGTATTTTCCGATATAAAAACATTCCGCTGAAAAATTCCTGATCAGCTGTAGTCATATGGCCAAGAACACAACGTAAGCTGTGCTGGAGACAGCTGAAGAGCGAGCACATCCCTGCCTCCCCAGGGCTGGTGAAGTGGGTAAGAACTTGTCTGGGTCACACCTGGGATGGGAATTTCAAAAGAGCCTAAGGGAGTTCGGTTTTCAGCTTCTTCTGATTTCCAGTAAAAGCTGAGTACCTACATCTCATAGGTTCTTTTGAAAATTCCAGTCCTGGTGTCAATATTTTTGCCATAGCTCCAAAATAAAATGGGGGCATCCCAATGTGCTGCTCTTTTCATTATCTTGGACTTACCTTCTCTTTGGAGTTGGCTGATATAATAACAAGCCAGTAAATGGATAAAGGACCCCTTGCATTGATAAGACCGAATAATTAACAGGATTCCCACTTGAACTAGCTTTAAGCCATGAGCTACTCCTTCATTCTAGACCTTGCTTTCATCCATTCACCTCCCTGTGGTGTAAAAGGAAGACAAATATCAGACTGACAGAAGAGAGTGAGTTTAAAATATGTCCCCAGGCACCTTGTGAAGTGAGACTTGACCTCAGCTGCGATGACATGTGTTAAGCTGTTATGTAACATTTGTTCTGCTGATGATTGCTCAGTAAAATGCAGACATCTGGGACAGCAAGATCCCAAGCCATAAACCTATGACTGGTGCTGAGTGTGTTTACATCCTGGCGCAAATGCTGTCACTTGGGGGGTGTTAATGCTTCACGGATTGGGGAAATACAAGTGTGTGTTCAATGGTTATGTTCCTTACCAAAGGGTAAATGGTAGTAAATGGGGAGGAGATACTTTAAGAACCACTGACCTTTCTAGAAAAGCACTGGCTAATTTCAGAGGAAAAGTGGTTACACACACTGGATCTGGGTTTCATTCCCAGCTCTGCCGCAAATTCCTGTAGGGCCTCAGACTAGTCATTTCAGTTCTTTGTGCTTCAGTTCCCCGTTTGTAAAATAGGGATAATCTTTTCTTCCACACATTGTCTGTTTAGATTATAAATTCTTAGGGGAAGAGACTGTCTTCTGCTACGTGTATGTACAGTGCCTAGCACAACAAGACCTGAGTCAGTTGGGGACTCCAGGTGCTGCCATAATACAAATAACAGCAATAGTAGTTTACCCAATTTCTCATTAAAACAATTCCATCACTCGATTGGTGGTGAATAGTGGTAATAGTAGTGCTGTTGCCAAAGGGCCAGATTTTTAAAGGTATTGAGGCACCTAAAGGTGCAGACAGGGATCTAGTGAGATGTGCAAAATGCCAGGGTGCCTATCTCTATTGGTGGGAATTATGTGCTTAGGAACTTTTTGAAAATCCCACCAGGTACCTATTTATCCTTCTGGGTTCCTAAATACTTTTGAAAATCTGACCCTTAGTATCTAGGGTACATGTGCTGCAAAGGTTTTCTAAGAGCTCTGCTCTAGGAATTGGTGTGTGGAAGTTCTGTAGCCTGTGTTATACAGGAGGTCAGACTAGATGACCACAGTGGGCCTTTCTGGCTTTATAATCTATGAATCTGTAAGTCAGGCTTTCAAATGAAGATTTGGGGAAGCTGTGGTCCATTCTGGCATCATCGCCTTTCATTTGTCAGTATAACCTTATTCTCTTGTCTCTTTCAGTTAAACCTACAGCTTTTGTAGAAGGGCATGGAATGGCTTCTGGTCAGCAGCAGCAAGATTATGACAGTTACCTACTGCGTCTGGGCTCCATGATGACCAAATTCCAGCAATGTGCTTACCAGCATTCCCAGAGCAAGGTGAGGAATGCTGGCCAAAGCATCTGGGAGGCTCTTCAAACTAGTTACCTGGTAGTAACAAAGTTCTTCTTTTCTCTTCATCCTTATCCCAGAGATGTTCTGGGCAGGACCACAATATAACTAATCTTCTTCTTTGGGTGGTCTCTGCATATTTCCACTCTTGAGATATACCCAGTGCTTCATTTGTAATGAAAACAGTGCTGGGGCTCAAGCAATTAAGTGCTGGGGATCAAGAATTTTTTTACTTTCATAACTGATACGGCAAGCCCAGAAGTGCTGCGGTTATGAACTGCCAAGCCTAAAGGTGCCGGGGCTCAGCTCTGGCAAGCCTGACACAAATTAAGCACTGAATGTACCTGTGTCACAGCCAGGATCAGTGGAACCTTCCAATGCCACTGGAACATTACCTTACACCCTCCTCTTGTGATTCCAAACGTTTGCAGGGTGTGCCATACGAGTGGTGTGAAGCACCAACTGTCATAGTTCCTTCCAGCCATGGTGGCAGATGGAACGAGAACCTCGCCTGGTCCATGGACCCAGTTTTGTCAGAATGTATCATTTCCAGTGCCTTCTTCATTAGGATTAGTGTTAGTTAGCTTCTTCAGTTAGACAGTTTTACTTATCTTTTTCAGGTTTGGCAGCTTCATTGCTGATCTTTGTCCTAATAAGTTTTTTTTCTTTAGCAATCCAGTCTTTATGAGAGTCAAAGATTGCAAGACTTTTTATTTCTCTAGGCCCCTTCCAGACAGTATATAGCAGTGATACTCAGACTGAGGCTCACAAGCCACAAGTGTCTCTTTAATATGTCTCCTGTGGCTCTTTGTAGCATGGGATATTAAAACACTGTGATTTAATTATTAACCAGTCAGGATGCTTTTACTATGTTGTTAACCAATTAAGTTATCAATTTCCACTAAGTTATTAACTTATTTACTGTGTGTTTTATATATATATATATATATACATATATATATATGTAAATGTAATATAGTACTATAGTAAATGAAACAATGAATTCACACTACTGGGTAATGTTGATCTTTAATATGGCTCCTGCACCACTGAGCGCTGAGTATCACTGGTATATAGCTTCAACAGAAGCTCCTCAGTGATCGGGGGAACCATACCAAACAGAGCTGGATTGGCACTGAAAACATCAAAGAGAGTGGGAACAATGGTTCTGTATTGGGGAACAGTTTTAGGATCAAACAATAGTTTAGTTGTAGATGTCTCCCATTTCAAGAGATATTTCTAAAATTGTACCTTCACAATATTAATTTGCTTCTTGCAGTTGCTGAAATATTGCATCATTGCCTTGATTCATACAATTACCCAACCCCTGAAGACCATCTACCTGATCCTACTGATCATTATTGAATACTTTCCCGTCAACTTTCAGGACAAGATGCTACAAGTTTCCCGTACCACAGAAGTGCTCTGTGCTTCATTCTCCACTCTTGATTCCTTCCAAGATCTGTCTAGACGAATCCTCTCCCAAATATGGGAGAAAGTGACCAAGAAAGAGGAACATATGAATAAGCTGCTGGAGTATGTGGTGTACAGTACACCTCTGTGTTGGTTTGTGGGACCCTTCAATGCTTTAAGAGGCAGAATATAAGCAGACTCCACAGAAACTGCAGAATATGGAAAGAAGGCGCGCGTGACAAGTGACACTATTTAGACTGCAGAAGTTTGGAAGCTGTTACAGGATACGACTTCCCTGTGGAGCTAATTTATTTGTAGAACTGTAAAGTTTGTCGAACGAAAGCTTTGATCTTTGTGAACCCAGCTCTGAGATTAGAGCTGAGCCTCAGGATAGCCTGGAAGTAAATAAATAAATCAGGTTCTTTCAAAGTCCCTTTGTTGCTGAAATCTGCCTCCCAAAATTCACAGAATCATTTAAATACCGGCTGCGGGAGGGGAAAGGGAACTATAGCAAGTCTGCCCTTGAGCAAGACTTTTGTTTGGTTACACATGTGGTGAACAGAAGCAATTTAAAATAGGGAGGTTAATCAAAGATTAGGAATTTTAAAAGATCACAAACAGAATGTGCCATTGCATAGTCCTTTACATAAGACCATAAGAGCGACCCTACTGCATCAGACCAAAGGTCCATCCAGCCCAGTGTCCTGTCTGCCGACAGCGGCCAGTGACAGGTGCCCCAGAGGGAATGAACAGGTAATCATCAAGTGATCCATCCCCTGTCGCCCATTCCCAGCTTCTGGCAACCAGGCTAGGGACACCATCCCTGCCTATCCTGGCTAATAGCCAGTGATGAACCTATCCTCCACGAACTTATCTTGTTCTTTTTTTAACCCTGTTGTAGTTTAAATTCTGTTAGAGTTCCAGTTGTCCCCTCTTGTAAGTAGAAAGCTCTTTAAAGGCAACATTGTGATTTGCCCTACATAGCCAGGCAGGACAGGAGGAATGGCTGAGTAGGAATCACTGTTCTGTAGCTGATGTGATATCAGGCTCTGTGGGGCTGCTAATGCCTTCCAAAACGCAGGTCGGAAGAGAGTGGGCAGACCAGGCAGAAGAATATATAGATTTTCACTATATGTCCTGGGACACTTGCACAATACAGGCCTGCTTCTCCACTGCTTTGCACCTTGTGTAGTCATTTACCCCTGTGCACAGTGGGTGTGAAATGCTGCCACATGGGAATGGTAGTGTAACCCAGGCTAACACAGTGTGGGGGTTTGTACCCCACTCCACCCCAGTAGCCAGGCCATCTAAAGAGGTGTATGAGTTTGCTAAGGAGCCTGGATTCTTTAGTACAGGTAACAGAAGCTCAATTTGATACAAGATGAAAAATCCTCACTAGAGCTGGGTAAAATATTTTTAATCATAAATTTGCCAAAAAATGCATTTTTCAGAACACAGGAATTATTTGAAAATTCAAGTAAAAAATGGGGGAAAGAAATTGAAAAAGTCAAACCAGTTTGTTTTGTTCATTTCAAAATGAAATGTTTTGACTTTTCATTTCAAATAGTTTCGTTTTGACCATTTGGAAATGAAACACTTTATTTTTTTTCATTTTGAAATGGTGTTTCTTTTCAAAATTTAGCTAGATTTAAAAAAAGGGAGGGGGATACAAAGCACCCAAAACCTACATGAAATTAAAAACTGAAAAATAATCTTTTAGGGTCACATGAATGGTTTTGTTTGGCTTGAAACACATTTGTTCATTTATTCCATTTCAATGAGGAGAAACTGAAAAATAAAATCAGTTTTGGTTTGAACGGACTGTTTTTAATTTTGTTTTTTGTCCAGCCCCTTAAATGAAAAATTCATTATTTGCTCAGTCCTAGTCCGCCCGCAAATATTTTAATGTTGCATGACAATGTCAAGTGGGAAAGGTGGCAGCTAAGGGTATGTCTACACTACGGAATAAGGTCGAATTTATAGAAGTCATTTTTTTAGAAACCGGTTTTATATATTCGAGTGTGTGTGTCCCCACAGAAAATGCTCTAAGTGCATTAAGTGCATTAACTCGGCGGAGCGCTTCCACAGTACCGAGGCTAGAGTCGACTTCCGGAGCGTTGCACTGTGGGTAGCTATCCCACAGTTCCTGCAGTCTCCGCTGCCCATTGGAATTCTGGGTTGAGATCCCAATGCCTGATGGGGCTAAAACATTGTCGCGGGTGGTTCTGGGTACATATCGTCAGGCCCCCGTTCCCTCCCTCCCTCCGTGAAAGCAAGGGCAGACAATCATTTCGCGCCTTTTTTCCTGAGTTACCTGTGCAGACGCCATACCACTGCAAGCATGGAGCCCGCTCAGGTAACCGTCACCCTATGTCTCCTGGGTGCTGGCAGACGCGGTACGGCATTGCTACACAGTAGCAGCAACCCCTTGCCTTGTGGCAGCAGACGGTACAGTACGACTGGTAGCCGTCATCGTCATGTCCGAGGTGCTCCTGGCCACGTCGGCTGGGAGCGCCTGGGCAGACATGGGTGCAGGGACTAAATTTGGAGTGACTTGACCAGGTCATTCTCTTTAGTCCTGCCTGCAGTCAGTCCTATTGAACCGTCTTATGGTGAGCGGGCAGGCGATACGGACTGCTTGCAGTCGTACTGTACCATCTTCTGCCGAGCAGCCATGAGATGTGGATGGCATGCAGTCCTTCTGCACCGTCTGCTGCCAGCCAAAGATGTAAAAGATAGATGGAGTGGATCAAAACAAGAAATAGACCAGATTTGTTTTGTACTCATTTGCTTCCCCCCTCCCCTGTCTAGGGGACTCATTCTTCTAGATCACACTGCAGTCACTCACAGAGAAGGTGCAGCGAGGTAAATCTAGCCATGTATCAATCAGAGGCCAGGCTAACCTTCTTGTTCCAATAAGGACAATAACTTAGGTGCACCATTTCTTATTGGAACCCTCCGTGAAGTCCTGCCTGAAATACTCCTGGATGTAAAGCCACCCCCTTTGTTGATTTTAGCTCCCTGAAGCCAACCCTGTGAGCGCCCCTCCCGGCGTCAGAGCAACGGCAAACAATCGGGCATCTGAGAGTGCTGTCCAGAGCAGTCACAATGGAGCACTCTGATGAGGCTAAAACATTGTCGCGGGTGGTTCTGGGTACGTATCGTCAGGCCCCCGTTCCCTCCCTCCCTCCGTGAAAGCAAGGGCAGACAATCATTTCGCGCCTTTTTTCCTGAGTTACCTGTGCAGACGCCATACCACGGCAAGCATGGAGCCCGCTCAGGTAACCGTCACCCTATGTCTCCTGGGTGCTGGCAGACGCGGTACGGCTTTGCTGCACAGTAGCAGCAACCCATTGCCTTCTGGCAGCAGATGGTGCAATACGATTGGTAGTCGTCCTCGTCGTGTCCGAGGTGCTCCTGGCCACGTCGGCTGGGAGCGCCTGGGCAGACATGGGCGCAGGGACTAAATTTGGAGTGACTTGACCAGGTCATTCTCTTTAGTCCTGCAGTCACTCCTATTGAACCGTCTTATGGTGAGCGGGCAGGCGATACGGACTGCTAGCAGTCGTACTGTACCATCTTCTGCCAGGCAGGCAAGAGATGAGGATTGCTAGCAGTCGTATTGTACCATCTTCTGCCAGGCAGGCAAGAGATGGGGATGGCTAGCAGTCGTACTGTACCATCTTCTGCCGAGCAGCCATGAGATGTGGATGGCATGCAGTCCTTCTGCACCGTCTGCTGCCAGCCAAAAATGTAAAAGATAGATGGAGTGGGTCAAAACAAGAAATAGACCAGATTTGTTTTGTACTCATTTGCTTCCCCCCTCCCCCTGTCTAGGGGACTCATTCTTCTAGATCACACTGCAGTCACTCACTGAGAAGGTGCAGCGAGGTAAATCTAGCCATGTATCAATCAGAGGCCAGGCTAACCTCCTTGTTCCAATAAGAACAATAACTTAGGTGCACCATTTCTTATTGGAACCCTCCGTGAAGTCCTGCCTGAAATACTCCTTGATGTACAGGCACCCCCTTTGTTGATTTTAGCTCCCTGAAGCCAACCCTGTAAGCCGTGTCTTCAGTCACCCCTCCCTCCGTCAGAGCAACGGCAGACAATCGTTCTGCGCCTTTTTTCTGTGCGGACGCCATACCAAGGCAAGCATGGAGGCCGCTCAGCTCACTTTGGCAATTAGGAGCACATTAAACACCACACGCATTATCCAGCAGTATATGCAGCACCAGAACCTGGCAAAGCGATACTGGGCGAGGAGGCGACGTCAGCGCGGTCACGTGAATGATCAGGACATGGACACAGATTTCTCTGAAAGCATGGGCTCTGCCAATGAATGCATCATGGTGCTAATGGGGCAGGTTCATGCTGTGGAACGCCGATTCTGGGCTCGGGAAACAAGCACAGACTGGTGGGACCGCATAGTGTTGCAGGTCTGGGACGATTCCCAGTGGCTGCGAAACTTTCGCATGCGTAAGGGCACTTTCATGGAACTTTGTGACTTGCTTTCCCCTGCCCTGAGGCGCATGAATACCAAGATGAGAGCAGCCCTCACAGTTGAGAAGCGAGTGGCGATAGCCCTGTGGAAGCTTGCAACGCCAGACAGCTACTGGTCAGTTGGGAATCAATTTGGAGTGGGCAAATCTACTGTGGGGGCTGCTGTGATGCAAGTAGCCCACGCAATCAAAGATCTGCTGATATCAAGGGTAGTGACCCTGGGAAATGTGCAGGTCATAGTGGATGGCTTTGCTGCAATGGGATTCCCTAACTGTGGTGGGGCTATAGACGGAACCCATATCCCTATCTTGGCACCGGAGCACCAAGCCACCGAGTACATAAACCGCAAGGGGTACTTTTCGATAGTACTGCAAGCTCTGGTGGATCACAAGGGACGTTTCACCAACATTAACGTGGGATGGCCGGGAAAGGTGCATGATGCTCGCATCTTCAGGAACTCTGGTCTGTTTCAAAAGCTGCAGGAAGGGACTTTATTCCCAGACCAGAAAATAACTGTTGGGGATGTTGAAATGCCTATATGTATCCTTGGGGACCCAGCCTACCCCTTAATGCCATGGCTCATGAAGCCGTACACAGGCAGCCTGGACAGTAGTCAGGAGCTGTTCAACTACAGGCTGAGCAAGTGCAGAATGGTGGTAGAATGTGCATTTGGACGTTTAAAGGCGCGCTGGCGCAGTTTACTGACTCGCTTAGACCTCAGCGAAACCAATATTCCCACTGTTATTACTGCTTGCTGTGTGCTCCACAATATCTGTGAGAGTAAGGGGGAGACGTTTATGGCGGGGTGGGAGGTTGAGGCAAATCGCCTGGGTGCTGGTTACGCGCAGCCAGACACCAGGGTGGTTAGAAGAGCACAGGAGGGCGCGG